GCATGGCAACCGCAATCATCTGGCAGGGAGCCTCACTTATGATGTCATCAGGCGAGCCGAGTGTGATTGGACGGGTGATGAATGGCTGCTGAGCTGAGAGGGCTGATGAGCGGGCGTTTACCTGAAACACAGAGACAGAGCGATGGTCTCACCGACTGCACGACAGGCAGAAACTAACCCGCGACGGTCTGACATCTCTGCACTCTCTGTAACTGTCCAACATATCAAAGGCAGACCACTTCACACTCAAGCAAATGAGAGCTGAGGAGCTCAGATTTTAAGTGTAAGTTTTTAGATAAAAGAAAAAGGTCTCCAAAAAATACCACCTGTGGTTAGAACGTGAGCAGTGGGCACTTTCAGACATGAAGTCCACTCATTCAGATCATCTAAGATCAAATCTAGTTAACTATTTCTCCTGTATTTGGACTGGATATCCATAATAGCCTTCTGCAGCAGCCCATTCATTTTGCAGCAGTTGATGTGGGTCCAGGCTGTCAGGGCATCAGTGATGTTCAGGTCTCACTCTCCTCAGACGTCACCTGCAGCTCTTCCCTGGGGACATAAAAGCATTTCCACGCAAGGATTAAAGTGTAATTCGTGTTAAGCAAAGGGTCCCAAGGTCCCTCAAATGTGTCCATCTGCGTAAAAGTTAGCATTTGCTAGATGTGGATTGGTTGACAAGTGAGGAAAAAATAGGGAACGAGGGAACCACAAAAAATTTAGAACATCTGTCTTCTCCTTCTGGCGGACCAACAGCAGCACAAGCAGGAGTGGCCCCCGGATGATCTGATATCGTCGTGTTGGTGTTGTTCCAGGATCAACATTGCAAGTGACCAATCACATTGTTGTGACGTTATTCTTTGGCGCACCAAGCCATTCGTGCATTTATGAAATTCCAATGTTGCAAGGACAATATCAATTCTGCTTAGCGTTTATTAAAGGGTTAGGGTCAGGGTCAAGGTTGGTTGATCGGCGGACAGAGGCGGTTCCTCGCAGCTTAAGTACAGTTTTTTGTTTTACGGCGGTTTTTCCCGAAGTCGCAAAAGACGTCACAACATTCTGATTGGTCACTTGCAATGTTGATCCTGGAACAACATTTACTATGTTGATCTGGGAACAACACGACGATATCAGATCGTGCAGTGGCCCACAGACCGCTCAGTCCACCTTCAACTCTGCAGGCAGACAGTGAATGCACCACCCAGGAGTCCAGGAGCCATCGTAATCACATGCTGAACCACCTCAGCTGTTTCTTTGCCAAGTGGAGGAATGGTGGCTCAGCTCTGAGTGCCTCACGGTGTCTCTAAGGCCGAGCCATACTCCAGAGGAAGCTCATCTCTGCCACTTAAATCCACAGTCTCATTCTTTCAGTTACCCAGAGCCCATGGTCGTAGCTGAATGTTTGAACACCAACTACCTGGTTTCATGCTCACTCGTTTGAGACAAGCTTTCTGTTCATTCCACTGTGAGCAGCACCTCGTCCCTGACCTGGAGTGGGTGTGTTCAGTTATCATCTGACAACCACGGCCTCAGACTTGGAGGTGCTAATTCCCAGCCACTTCACACTCTGCTGCAAACCACCCAGTATGAGCTAACAGTCATCATAAAACAAAGCCAGCAGAGCCACATCAGCTGCAAAAAGCAGAGAGGTGATCCTGACACCACCTGAACCATCTCCCTTCTCCTCTTACCTGCACTTACAATTCTGTCCATGAAAATTATGCACAGTGATCCAGAGATCCTAACAACATATCGAGGCTTGTAGATCAATAAAATCATCGCTCGCATTCAGCAGAGAGAAAGTTGCTCCTGACATCAAACATGAGAAACTTTATATCTAAAAGAACTCTACTGCCATCAGGGCTTTTGCAGGAATGATGACATCATTTTCCAGGGAGTTGATTGGTTAGTAGGTGTTGGTTATGTACATGTTGAGTTGTTATGTCACATAAGTGAAACACCTGCTTCATAACACATGAGGTTACCTCACTAAGCCAGTAATCTTGCAAGACTCTCAAAGCAACTCAGAGAAATTAGAAAATAATCCTCCCCATCACTCCTAAAACTGATGCCATATCAAACTGTTTTGATTTGAAAGGTGTGAAAACAACCTTAGAAATATTTCTGAATGAAAGTGGTTCGATGAGGGAAGACCCACATTCAGAGGCCAGCCTGAAAAAGCTTGAATAAGAGCAGTTCAGTGAGTCACACAAGCTCAACGCTCACAGAAGAAAAAAACCTTAAAAGAACACAACAGCATCCCTGCTGAGAAACACGGACGAGGCTCAGGTGTGTTATTGGGCTGCTTGGCTGTGTTGAACCTGCGCTGGACTCATAATCAGAAGATTATCAGTAAAACCTGGAGGGAAACAAACTGCCTGGTGTCAGAGAGAGTCTGACTTAGTCGCAGCTCAGCGATCCTGCTACAGGATAATATGCATGTAAAAAGCATGGAGTGTGCTGAGAAGGGCTTTACTTCCTGATCTTAATTAAAGTGAACAGCTGTGGAAAAATCTGAAAGTCCTCAGAACACTGGCAGGATTTCTCAGTGGGAGGCCCACGGGAAATCAGAAAACTGCCCCAGAAATTAATTGATACCAAACGAGATGAAAATTCATCAAGTTCTCAGGATTTTAACTGTAGACAGACCTGCCCCACTAAACATGCACTTGGAGCCATGGCCACAGTGAAGCGATGACCCCAGGGTCTGAAAAATAAATCCATTGTAGTGAAATCAAAGCCTGCAGTTCCTCTAAAATCCAGCAGAGGCTCCCTCAGTGAGTCAGTCCCCACAGACTCCCACATTAAAAAAACTATAACAATAAGGGACACCCCCTTTAGCCCCTCCGGTGAATCAAAGCTGCAAAACAAGAGCTTAATTTCTATCACCGTTCAAAGGTGATAGAAATTATGGTGTATTTCTCGCACCATAATTATAAGGCACATTAAGCGAAACAAAACAGTCAGATAAGTCAAACTTTACTCAAGCCACTCTTCTTGCTTCCTCCACTTCTGTACCATTGATTCATTAATGTTGAATTCTTTTGCAGCTGCTTTATTCCCATGTTGTTGCAGTATATTAATGACTAACCTCGTATTGTGGATGGATTATCTCAGTTGTTCTCCTGACTGAAGTTTGGTCCGTTTACAGCATCCTACTATGCGATTGCATTTGTCTCCAACCATCTGGAACCCTCCCATTAAATTTTAATGGGTGGAAAAAGGTTAGCATTCATCCTCCAGCTTCACTGTGTTTGTTATGCTTACATAGCTGTGTTGCTAGCGGTCACGTAGCACATCATTATATACCAGCTAGCCCAACTTCAGTAACCCTACAAAAGTCACTGCTGTTTAGTTTTCTGTCTTCATTTATGTTGGAAGTGAAAACAGAGCTGTGTATTTTAATTTTTTCAGAATATTTTTTCCATGACATTTGTACGGAAGAAGATTAGGGCCACTGGAAGAAAAAAAGTGTGAACGTCTTCTTTTTTTTCTTCTTTTCCAGAATTCTGAGAAAAAAGTCAGAATTCTGACTTTAATTTCAGAATTCTGGAAAAGAAGAAAAAAAAGAAGACATTCACACTTTTTTTTCCTCCAGTGGCCCTAATCCTTGTTCGTAGATTTGCATTAGTTTTGGTTTTTAGGTGATTTCTTTTTGCTCTACTAAAGAATAAATGTAACGTATTTCGGCAGTAACACATCTGGGGCCACAGCTGTGCACACTGGTACCTCATCTGAAGAAGAGTGGTTGATTATTCTTGAGCTTTGTTGGGAATAAATGTGCATTAATTATCTCAAGGAGATTTTTTTCTGCTTTCATACGGTGACTACACATACTCAGGGAGGGACTGAAGCCAATCCAAGCAGCTGCTGTTGCCCCTCCAGAGGAATCATTTAGCTGGCTGTCATCTTTAGTTCCACCTACTGTCCACAAACTCAGGTGTGGCTCCATGCTGGCGAGAGATGCTCTGTTCTGCTTTTGACCTTTGAGCTTCTGATTCGGTTAAAAACATCCACCACAGTTCCACAGAGTCCACAGCTTCCATGACTAATGGAGACGACCCCCTGCCCCTTCTCTGCACCAATCAAGTCATCATCATGGCAACCAGTCGATTCACAGGAACCAGCCAGACACCAATCAACCTCCTGCTACATGAATCTGAGTGTGTGTGTGTGTGTGTGTGTGTGTGTGTCAGTCACAGAGGTTATTTTTGTTCGCTGAAAATAAAACTGAAGAAAAACAACGCGATGCCGACCCCCCTTTAAACTTGTCAGATTATTGTGACCTCATTAGAGCACCTCCTGCCGAGTAATCACTGTCATTTATTTATTCATTTAAGAGCTGCCACAAAAGCAATGTGATGAAACACTGAAACACTCTGTCAAACCCTCTAAGTTTTGTCTGTACAGTTTATGTTATATATTTTGAATCTTGTTTTCACCTGTTTGCGTCACAAACTGTATATTCAATTTAATTCAATTCAGTTTTTTTATATATAGAGCACCAAATCACAACAACAGTCACCTCAAGTCACTTTATACTGTAAGGTAGAGACCCTACAATAATACAGAGAAACCCAACAATCAGAAAACCCACCATGAGCAAGCTCCATGACAGTAGGAAGGAAAAACTCCCTTTTAAGAGGAAGAAACCTCCAGCAGAACCAGGCTCAGCTTTTTGAACCCCGTTGTGGTTTTCACCATCTTGTTTCTAGAACCAGAAGTGTTATATTTGGATATGTTATTAGCCAGTCCTAGCTAGCATTGATGGCAAACTACAGGAAGTAGTTTGTTTAGATGCTGTTAGTCAGTTACCTCACAGCAGCCATAATATTGGTCACATCATGTCATTAAAATGCTCCAAAAGTAATACAGGCGTTAGAAAAGAGAACAGTTTCTGTATCCAGCTGTAAACATGTCTAAGTGTGCTTAAGATGTTTATATGATGTAAAACTTCATGTAAATTAAATTGAATATTTGTGCTGAATTTTTTGTCGCAGTGTTCGTTTGTGCCTCCGTGTGAGAGGGACAACCAGAAGAACAGAGACAGCGTTCTGTGGTGGGAGGATTACTTCACCAAAGAGGTCAACAGCCAGTCGTTCATCTGCTTCTTCAACCAGCAGCGGCGGTGAGGCTCACGCACACGTTTACAGCTCTGTCTATTTGGAGGTGCGATTCAGATAAATTGGAAATCAAAGAAAGTGTGATTCTGTCACATCATTGTTACCACAGAAGACAAATGACCGGACTTTCTGACAGACACACTTTCCACTTTCAAATTTGCTGTTCCTGACCTTTGACCCTCAAGAAGTGACCTCTGACTTCACTTTAATAGTCTTTCCACTTCCACTTATACTTAAAGCATTTTTTTGTCAGTGCCCTAGAAGGATTCAAACTTCATGCTTATACTTAAAATTTTAATATAAATTCAAATTTTTATTTCCTTTATGCCATGTTTTACCTACTGTCTAATAATACCATCATATTATTCATTTAAAGGTTTGTCTTACTATAGTTTTATTGTAATATTCATCTTTTCTTCTGGTTTCATTAGTGCTCTGTGTGCATTATACATGATTTCGATTTACATTTTGCTTTCAGGGTGAATTTATGTTGCAGGTTCAGATGAGAAGTGGTCTCTTAGCTCTTTAACTTTGATGCATTTTTAAGAAATGTTCATTCATGCTTATTTGAATATTTAAATACATAAAAAATATAAATATAAAACATGATGAAAAACAAAGTGGTTCTACTGCATTTTCAAACAAAATCCTGTCAAACGCCAAAAATCCTCAAACCGTTGGTCTTTCAATTGTTGGACCAAAAATTGTTTAAATGAATAAAAAATAACCTTTAATTAAAATCCCAGAGCCACTTCATTCAGATTTTAAATGCCTTATACATTATTGTTATTTTAATTAAAATATGTGAAACATCAATTCAGGCTCCAGCCTGAATTCTCAAAATATATCTTGTTAACCTTTGAATAATTTCAGTCTATAGAACCTTCCTTTATCACACTACCGATGACATAAAGGTGAAAATGTAGGTCAACAGTATGATGAAGGTGGATTATCAGAGGTGAGCAGGAGACACTGAGCAGAACAGCAGAAGGATGCTGAGGTTACAACCTGAAAATAAACACTGCAGTGAAAGATAATAAGAGCAGGAGGAGAGATGTTTGAAGAAGCTCTTCTTTCCTCTCTTTTTATTCAGGCTCTGTCCAAAAAACTGATGAGACAAAGAAAAGCCAGAGATCTGCTTTAGCGTGTCAGCTTAATCCTCCGATAATTCACCGTCAGTGCTTACCTGTGACCTTGGCTAGTTTTATTTTTATCTCTGCACCAGAAAGATCCGAATGAGGAAATGCTGGTTCATAAATGAGGCCTCAGTGGGAGCTCATTGATGCTACACATCAGCTCTTCTTTGGTGTTTTAGAGAACGAACTGGAACACGCAAAGTTTCTTTTTTCATTAAGTTTAGAAAAGCATGTAGTCTCTAGATGTCTGGCTTATTTCAGAGGTGGCATGAAGGTTATATCCCAAAACTTTCTGGTGGTGTCAGTCAGAGTATGAGAGTTAAAATTAGACTGTGCACAGCTGAAGGAGATCTTTCTTCTGGTCACTTCCAACTCCTTAATTTTTATTTTGGGATTCCACTAGAGCATCGGCATGATTCACAGTTCACAAAATCCTTACTGACCTCATAATGGCCAAGAATTTAGATGCTCACTTCAGCATGAACTTTACTGAACACTTTTTAACCCTCATCCTCCATTTTCCCTCCGCTAATGTGTTTGTATTAGCCTAACCACAGCTCTATAACTAGCCACCAGGTATCACACCACTATCTGTCAACTAGTAAGACTTCACCAGCCGCCCAAACATTGCTGATATTTAATTTTCTGTCTTCATTTACAAGTAACAGCAGTGCTGTACATTTTAACTTTTTTGGACCCTGAAATGATTAAAGATGCTCCACAGCTAACTGTGGAGATGAATGTGTGCTCAGTTACACTGCAGATAGCTTAACTCTATTTTTGGGAAATTTGCTATGTTAGTTTTTGTTGATACATAGAAGCAACTTTGCCTTTCTTTCCTAAATTATTAGGTGTACAATTCATTTTAATCATGTGAAGATTGAGATTCAGAAATGAAACAATGTCACTTTTCAAAAGGAGAGATAGATTTTGTTCATCTTTAGTAAGATGTCTATTTGAGTATGCCGATGTTGGATTGCAGTTAACGATATCCAGCTAATGTAACATTAGCTATACTACCTAAATGAATAACAACATAAACACTTGTTGAGTTAAGCAAGCTAGTCATTAAAGATACTCCGAGTGAGGCCCATGGACCTTAACTGCATTCTTTCTAATGACCAGCAGGGGGCAATTCCTCTTATAGAAAAAAATCATTGTCATTACTGTGGAAAAATTACTCTACTGCTCACCTGATTCGGCACTTCGAAACAAAGCTTTCCCGATGGGATGTGATTAAGGGGGTGCTTGCTTCTATCTTGCTTTCATTGTCTGTAACATGAAATATTAGTAGGAAGCCTTTAATTTTAGTGACAGGAGATGGTTTGGTATGAAAAAGGAGTAAAAGTAGAAGGACCTGTAGGAGGTCAGTGAATTAACAGTCAATCCCAAGAGTAGTGTTTTAACACAATGTTAAATTCGTGCTTTTACTTTTTCTTCTTTTTATTTCAGGCCTGATGACGTGTTGTGGCGCCGTTCCCATGACACCAGTGTCCTGTTACACTGTGTTCTTTGGCCAATGGTTTCCCTCCTTCTGGGCACGCTCATTGTGCTCCTGACGGTATGTGCTCGCTCCCTGGCTGTTCGAGCCGAGGCCCTCCAGAAGAGGAAGTGCTCCTATGAGGTCTGCCAAGACCTGTCTGCCATGCCACCTGACCGCTGCAGCAGCAAGGCCAGAGACCCACTCACGACAAACTCTGACCCCGAGCTGTCATCGCCCTCAAGGACCCTGCCGCTGTTTGCAGTCCCAGTGCGGCGCAGAGATCGGGAACATTAGAGCGAGCAGAAAGATGTTTCTTCAGCATGAAATCACTAAAAATGCCAATGAGCCGGTGGGCGAAGTCGACTAAATGGCTAAAGACGCCACCAACAACCCATTGCTGTCCGGACTGGTTGGTATGATCAGAATGTTTGAATGAAGTGAAGATGAGGGGAAATCCACTGTTGCCTATAGATTTCAGCAGGAAGACTGTACAAAACTTCAGACTTTTTTCTGATTTTAGCTTAAAGTGGATCAGTGGAAATCTTCTGACTAGCAATGAAAGGCTGTTTAAATGAGGGTAGTTGGCGTTGGGTACTGATAGCTGGTTCTACTTTGGGTCTGGTTTCTAGTCATCAAGAAACCCAGACTTATTAAGTTCTGGTGTTTTAAGGGTCTCTTATCAAGTATCTTTATCTGTTATACTTGTTCAGTCATTTCAGCTTACATGTGAGCTCCAATATTTGGATTAGATAATTTGTTATAGACCAGCTATATAAATGAGTTTGTTCCAACTATTAAATGGGAAAAATCTGTATTCATCAGAGATCTTTCAGTGATCATCCATCAGTTTCTGGCTTTGTCCAGCAGCAACTAATCACATATAGAACAATATATGTTCAAGATATTCTGGGAATGGGCTAAAAGTTATTTAAATGTAACCATCTCCAGTTCAGATTATTGAACTGGAAGTCCCATTATGACCTACTTTTGCCTCAGCGATGAGAACTGGATCTCCTCCAATCTCAAAACGATAAACACTGATCTTAATTTCAATTTTAGGAAAGTGGACAAAGTTGGATTGAGGTGAGTCTGGCAAATACACTGTCGTAAGAAAATGATTGAGATCAGCCAAATTTGAATCAGGTAGGGTTTTTGATTCTTAGAAATTTTTGACACCTTGTGCTGATCTTTGACTTGTGTTTTTAAGTTGTTATACAAAGGATGAAAGCTGAGATTCTATCAGAGATTCAGATTTAATAGGATGCTATCAAAGCCCAACCCAAACCCTCGCGCTGTGATTGATGATGCAGTCAGGACAAGACAAGCATAAGGACTGACTCTTGGGAAGTAACTGCTCTTCTGTAGCTCTCTTATTAATGTAGTTTCCCTTCAAGTCCCAGTAGCCATGAATGTTTCTTAACAGAGGTGCAAAGTCCTGATGTTACCTTCAGGATTGCCTCTGCTCTTCTAGCTTGTGCAACTCAAGGCAGTCTTTTGCTGAGAATTTCTTTCATCAGTCTACTAACAAATGAGACTTCATATTACATATGTGAAGATAAATGGTTGTCTACTACAGCACTTTTATAGTACAATTTGAACCCTATAGGAGCTTAGCAATGATTTTGTTTCATTGAAAAAAGTTTTTACCAGCACACAGTCACAACTGTTTTTTTCTCTTTGACTTGTATCAATGGTCATAGAAAATATCTGGATTGTCGTCTGTTGTGCTCTTGGTTGTTTTCTGGGGGGGAGGGGGTTGTGCAAGATGTTTTTAACCTCGTAACATCTGCCAGGTCACTAGTTTAGGTTCACATCAACTTTTCCTTGTAATTTTCACTTGTTTTGCATACACAAATGGACATAACTGAAGAACTGTAAGACTGACATTTAACTCTCATTTAACAACTCTAGTTTCTGAAGCCCATATAACCCTAAAGTAGGGGTCCCCAACTCCAGGCCTCGAGGGCCGGTGTCCTGCAGGTTTTAGATCTCACCCTGGGTCTATACACCTGAATCAAATGATTAGTTCATTTCCAGGCCTCTGGAGAACTGCAAGACATGAGGAGGTAATTTAGCCATTTGAATCAGCTCTGTTGGATCACGGACACATCTAAAAACTGCAGGACACCGGCCCTTGAGGCCTCGAGTTGGGGAGCCCTGCCCTAAAGTTTGCACTAAGAGGTTTGCCAGGTACCTGGTGGATATTAGAAGGTTAAATCCAGTTGGTTAAAACAGTCTTGGAATATTCTGGAAATACTTTCAGAGTCAGAGTTTCCAAAGACCTTTTTGAAAGGTCGACTGGTGTGGGCTTTTCTAACATTTTGGCTGCTCAGCTCTGTGACTGGATTTTAAGGTAAAAAGTGAAGCGGTGAAAAATATAAAGAGCCAGTAAAAGGCAAATGGACGGGTATTTTTAAATCAATATTTGGAATTCAATTTAAATAATTAAACCTGCCCTATTAATTTATGTATTCAAATACACTGGTGACTCATCAGAGTGCCCATTAGTGGATCCTATTGCTTCAGGGACTCGAATCCTCTACAGGGTTGACGATGCAAGAGCTCTTTGAACCATGAAGGTGTTGGCAGACAGCAGGGAGCTCAGTAGAAACAACCACAGCTAATGTTACTGACAACGTTACCCTTGAAGTCGCACCCAAAGAAATACAAAGTTCATGTATTCAGCTCAGTAAAATCAGCTGAACCACAGTTTCCCTTCAAAGTAGAGTGTAAAAGAGACCAGGCACCTGCAAGTCAGTTATAACTTTTTTACTTTAAGATATAAAGCATCCTGAAGCAACTGACAGATTACTTTTGTCTTGTATAGCATATTTGATACTATATAATTAAAAGTGAATGTTGGAGGTAGAACATTCGGTGGTCTAAATTTGGCAATTTATTATTTCCTCTAACTGGGCTGAAACTGCCCTAACTATGTCAAAAGAAAGATGTTAAAGTGCTGTCCCATTTCACTAAGCCAGGTTTCCATCCAGTTGAAACTAAACCTAAAACAAATCATGAATGAATCATGAGTTGGTTCATCAAACTGCACGTGGCTTTACCTTACCGGTCAGTACCATTAAAATAATAAGACACAAGGCAAAAGCTCAAAAGGTGGAAATGTAAAGTACACTTTTGCTATTATTATTGTCATTATTATTATTATTATTATTATTATTATTATTATTATTATTATTATTATTATTGTTAAGGTTTTCAATCCTTCTTTGGACATTGCAGTGGTGTTTCAAGTACATCATAAGTCTCTTTAATTGAAACATCACCAATTCTGTCATATTTTGGTGATTATGGATTAGACTACTAGTTCTTAATGTTTTTTAGTCTTCAATCCTTCTATGGACATTGAAGCTAAACACCATAACTAAATATTACTCTATGAAAAATATCCATAAATGGATAACTTTAGATCCCAATGTTATCTACATCTGCAGTTGTCGGTATAGGAGTTCTGGCCCATTAAAACTGCATTTTAAAGCATTTAGAAGTAGAATTCTACTTTAATTTGTGCCACATTGTTCACTTTTCAACGCTTCAAAACAAAGCAAAGCATCAGTAAGTCTAATTAGGAGGACAATAACAAGGTTGTAGTAGGATGTTAAACAGAGGCGTTGTTGCTTGGTAAACACTCCAAGGTAAAAAAAAAAACGACACATGCCCGTTGCCCGGGGTTCCCTCCACATGCTGCCTTCAGAAGTAATGAGGACAGAATCTAGACCATGTGAGTAAAGTGTGTGGGTGCTCGGGGGATTCTCTGTGCTGCAGATGGTTTTGCTCGGCTTCAACCCTGATTGTACAGGCAGGAAAAACCTCTGAGCTGACAGCTAAGGGACAGGAGGCTTATAGCTTGTACGCTATACAGGTACCCACAGAGGCAGTATGTAACGTTTCCACAGAAATGTCTCACAAAATCTTCTTATTGGTTCCTAGTCATAATCAGCTTGTGAAAATTTAGAAATATTCAAATGTACCAAGGAGCACTACAATAAATTCCAGCTCAAATTATTTCTTTTTTGATTTCCTGGACGATGAACGTCCATCCTACTATCCATTCTCTTCCGCTTATCCAGCTCAGGGTCAGAGACTAGTGTGCAGCTCGGTGCCCTAACAGCGATACATTACACAAAAAGAGGCACCGGGCAAACGTTCAAACATTGTTTTATTATAACAGTTTTACAAATTGGCGAAACAAGAGTTAGAGGCTTTTTCAGTGAAAGTTTTAATCCTCCTTAACAGTCCATAACATTTAGGATCTAAATTAAATAAAAATATTTAAGTTATTATATATCATATTATTATGTGTCATACACATGCTAATACTGGATCATAAGGAAGGTATTGTGTGTATAAAATTGTAATTTTGCACTTGGTATGATTTATGTTAATTTGAAGGGCCACCTGAGTATAGCAAAGTATGTAAGTTAATTAAGTGTTATTCTTTTATCTTTTATTTCTCGAGTCAACAAAAGAATCAGAAGTTTAAAATTTTTGGGAGCAGTAAACGTCTTAGCCTCATGTGCCACAGGAGATTTTGAGACTTGAAAGTCGGCCTTTGAATTTGCAAGTCTGGAAATGGCTGATCTATATTAATACAGCATCATATTTAAGCAGAATTATGTTTCAAATTTTGCAAAATAAGAAATCTCAAACACTTGTTTTGAAGGCATCTGCAATTCCTCTTTTGATTTGTGATGACGTTCCTCCATGGCAGCAGTTGGCACCCCACGTCACGTCCTGTGGAAACGGCAGCCATGTTTGGTGGTGCTGAAGCATCTCTGCTTTTCTCAGTAAACGGTCTGCAAACTGTAACGATGCTGAGCAGCCTACAGCAGGTGGTGGAGAAGCTGTAGGGAGTTTTAATTTGAATATCTTCACAGCTCCCACATGTTGGCGAAGACATTGAAGTAGCTTCTCAGTCTGGATCTGTTCAAGAACGATCAATGTGAAACATGTTTCAGGAAGTCTGCAGAGCTGCTGGGACATGTGATGTTTGGTTTGCACAGCTGTGTTTGCCTGGTGTTGCTGGTATTCGTGACAGTTGCTGAGGGAAGAGTTTAGACGGAAAAATTAAGTGTTTTAAACATATTTAAGCTCATCTCCAGAAACGCTCTGGGTAAAATTACTTAATTTTCTGCCAAGCACCAGAGTTAACAATAGACCTGCAATCACGAAGTGTGATTCATCTTGTATCAGGGGGAGTTTTTAATCATCAACTGTTGTTTCGAAATGTCTACCACCGCCTTTCAAACATGCCCAGCAGTCTAAATTCGACCCTGCTTTAAGCAATATTTTTGCCAAGCTGTTCTCTGAGCAAGTGAGCTGTTATTGTCCTGTCATCTCCTCCTCGGGTTCAGCTAGGAGACTGCCATCATGTTTCGTTGTAAACTTGAATTTTGCTGCTGTAACATATTTTATTCACATCACTTTTTGTGAGAACATCTATCCTGTCTTAGACTTGTGTTGACTGTTGGACACCTTTTAACCATTCCTTAAAAAAGCCTGAGAGCATGAATGAATTGTTTGTTTAATACGTCAGATTCATATCTGATTGTTTTTTGTCTTCATCAGTGATCTTTGTGCAAAATTCAAATTTATTCACAAGCGGCATTCCTCTAATGTCCACTTGAGGCTCCAAAAATGAGATTCTGTCTCAGTTGCAGCACAATGACCCAAATATGTGTGTATGATGAGGGGAGGCTTTAATTTCTGATCTTAAGGAAACTGAACAGCTGTGGAAAAAGCTGAAAGTCCACAAACCTGAGAATAGCGGTGGGACTTCTCAGTCTGGTGATCCATGAGAAATCAGAAGGTTACCCCTGAAATTAATTAATACCAAGCAAGAATTCAGTTTATTCTCTGTATTTTAATTGTAGAAAGACCTTTTCTCTCAACAAAAATTCATTTGAAGTCATTGTCACGCTTAAGGGACAACACATGGGTCTGAAAAGTAAACCCAACATGGAAGTACCAAAAGCTGCAGTTCCTTTAACGTCCAGCAGGGGCTCCAGCAGTTGGTCAGTACCCATAGACTCCCATATTAACACTTTACAACAGAAATAAACATGTTTACAGCCTGATACAAACACTGAATTGGCCTTTATACTGTATTCACCCTTTAGTTTGTAACTCATCTTTTTAAATTGTATTAAGGTTTAAAGTTTGCATTACTGGGGGTGAGGTCTCTTTGACTGACAGGTGGATAGTGACACAGGTGGCCATAGCTGCTAGCTGTTTGCTAGGCTTCGCTTCAGCTAACTGGTCTCCCTGAACTGGACCACTGTTTGTACTGTTGGAGCCTTTTGGAGCATTTTAATGATGTTATCTGACCAATAACATGGCTGCTGTGTGATTACTGTACTAACAGACTGTCAAAAGAAGCTACTTAATGTAGTTTGCCAACAAAGCTAGCTTGCGTTGGCTAATAACATATCCAAAGATGGTACTTCTGGTTCTAGAAAAAAGATTATACATATAGCTTCTTAGTGTGCCACCACATTTCAAAATCGAGTTGAACCATCTGATGCATACTGTCTGTCTGATGCTCTTCAGAAACCTGTGAAGAAAAACCAGCTTTCGTGCTCTGGTGTCCTGTGTAAGACACCCGTGACCCTAACACACTTTCTTTCTAGCACAGGATGTCTGGCTCCCACGGGCACTTCTCTGGAGTGCTTCCTCAGGGAGAGTGGTCCATCCTAATCCCCTCATTAAGATAAAAAGTCTGAGCTTGGCTGGGCTAATGTTCTCCAGACCACTTAGGGAAACATAAACACAGGTTTACAAAGATATTGTGTCAGTCATTTAAACATGTAGGGGGAATAACCACAGATCCAGTCACAGTGAGAATGAACAGTTTGACTCCATGAATGTAGAGAGGCAGAAACAGGACTGAGTGATGTAGCGTCATTAAAACATAATCAGTGCCTGAAGGAGTCAATCAAAAATCATCAATTCTTTACCTTTTCTGTTTCTTGGACCCTT